GGCTAGTGAGCTTGCAGCTCTAAGGGCAGACGCACCTTATTTACAATTCTTCATTCCTTCCTAAAGTGGTCTTTGATTTCCATATGAATCAACCATTAATCCTACCCATGTTATTTCCTTCTCCTTCTTCAGACACGGAAAGGATGCTCCACTCTTTGGAAATGCATAGAGCTCTAGCATTCTACACATCACGGACTAAGGACTTTCGATCTTCTCCCAGACTTTTCCTATGCTTTTATGGTCCATGCAAGGGATCTCTGGCATCGTCCTCCACAATCTTGAGATGGCTCATTTCTACTGTTGCCCTAGCTTATGAATTTACAGGCTGTACCCCTCCAGAAAGGCTAAGAGCCCACTCAACTAGGGCTACTGCTACTTCTACAGCACTCCTGTGAGGTGTGGACATTCCTGACATATGCAGAGCAGCTACTTGGTCAACAGTATCCACATTTGCAATGCACTATAGACTAGACCTATGAATCAAAAAGGAGGCAAAGTTTGGGAGAGCAGTATTGACATCTATCCTGGAGAGACGTCCCTCCTCCTGTTAAGTGAGCTTGCTAATCACCCTATTGTGTGCATTCACAGAGGCCACGATGAAGAAAGAGAGGTTACTTACCTGTAACCATTGTTCTTCAAGTGGACCTCTGTGAATTCACACATCCCGCCCTACCTTCCTCTATCCATCACTCCTTGAGCCATATCTTCAGTTAAATTATGGCAGATAAAATGGAACTGAGGGCTGAGGCGGGCGGAGCATGAGCTGTAGGGGTAACTCTCAACTATGTATTTTTTTTTCCTAAAAGCTATAGAAACTTCCGAGAATTGCTGTGCAGGCGCAGATTGAACCCTATTGTGTGCATTCACAGAATTTATTTATTTTTTATACCCCGCCTATCTAGTCAGTTGTGACCACTCTAGGCGGCTAGAAGCCACGATGAAGAACCTGCAGTATTTGGTTGTGTAGTCACAGCCTCAGTCTTTGCACACTTATTATCTCCTACTCATATCTTCCTCTGTTCATATTTTACATTCTGACATACAATCTGTCACATCTGCATATTTTTCCAACACTTTATCATTTACTTTTTTTGCTTTTTGTGCCTGATATTCCTCTGGTTGCCATGCTTTATTCGTTAGGATGGGCCAGTTTTCAAGGCTGCCATTAGTGCTCTGCTGTTATTTTACAGGACATCATTTCTACCGCTGGGTTAGTTAAGCAAACAAGCTTCTTCTTTCTCAGTCTCTTGTGCTGTGATATGGGTTGTGATTTTTTGTCTTTTGTTTTTTGGCCTTGTGGGCAGGGAACTCTTATTGTAATATGAAGAAATAAAGTTCCCACAGATAGGAGATGCTTTCATGTGAGCAGTAAAAGCTGAGCAGCAATTGGCAGAACTGAGCTTCACCCCTACTCCAGGTCAAAACTCTTTCTTTCCCCCTTGTTCATGTTTTTTTTTCCAGTTTGGACACATATACATACAAATACATTACAAATACTCTGAAATACAGTGGTGCCTCGCACAACGATTGCTTCGTACAACGACGAATTCACACAGCGATGGGTTTCTTTGAGGAATTTCCCCCATCGTTTAACAGTGTTCTCTATGGGGGAATTTCACTCAGCAATGTCCCTTTTTCGCTTCTGTAAAAGTGTCTTAAACTGTTAGAAACCTGCTTTAAATGCTTGCAAGCATTAGCCCACCTCCTGAACCCTATGCAAACTTAATTTGGTGTTGTTCTGAGTCGTCCAAAGGCTTTCAATGGAGAATAAAAAAATTCACCAAAAATTAACGACGACTCAGGTTTCCAACAGTTTAAGACACTTTTACAGGAGCGAAAAAGGACTTCGCAAAGCCATTGAAATGCATTGAGTCGGCTTCAATGCATTTCAATTGGGGAACCGGGTTTCACTCAACGATGTTTCCTATGGTGATTTTCGCTTAAGGACGGCAATCCGTTCCAATTGGAACGGATTAACTGGTTTTCAATGCATTCCTATGGGAAATGGTGTTTCGCAGAACGATGGTTTCACACAGCAATGAATTTTTTGGAACCAATTAACATCGTTGTGCGAGGCACCACTGTAACTAGGTACAAATCAAATCAGAGAGGTTACAAATTGGTTCCAGGTCAATCAGTTACTATTTATAAGACAAATAATTCTGACTGAACTGGAGGAAATGGCATTTTGTAATTGCCTATTAAAAGCAAACATGATGACTCTTCTTTTTTAAAAAATTATTTTTATTTTAACTACAACATAAACATAAAATACATAAACCAAAATACAAATTAACTGTGTTCCCCACCACCATAGATGGGACCTCTTGCAATAATCCTCTTCTTCCTCCATCTATATTCTTCTTCTTCTTTTATTGTCCTCTTCTCCAGAACTGCATTAATTCTTGTTTTGGAGCTTTCCCTTTTCCTCTTGTTAAAACATATTCCAAAAATCTGCCCCATGTATCATAAAAATTCTTTTTTTTTAATCTCTCCTTTCTTAACCTTTAGATTACAAGTTATCTTATCATTTATAGCTATATTCCATATTTTATTATACCATTCTTCCATTCAAAATTCATATTTTGATTTCCATTGCCTAGCTATTATTAATCTAGCTGCTGTTAATAAATTAGCAATCAATTCTTTAGTCATCTTATCATATTTCACATTTTCAAATATCGATAACAGAGCAATCTCAGGATAAAATTCTATATCTTTTTCACATATATCATTTAGTTCTTTTTATATTTGCAAAAGGAAGCAGGCAGTGGATGTGGTAAATAAGTGGCACATTTTTTCTTGCAGATTACGGGAACTCATTCTACCAGTACAAGGATGATAAGGCAGAAAAGGCCAGCATATAAAATTCCTTTTAAACTAGAGGTAGTAAAATATGCTAAAGAACATGGAAACAGAGCGGCAGAGAGACATTTTGGGCCTCCATCTGAAAAAATGATTAGAGAGTGGAGGAAACA